TCTAGTCACCATATCTCAAAAAGTATGTGCAAGACCTCAAAAGATGAAGAAAAGACAAGCCATATGTGGCTAAAGTAACTCCCCTATGATGAAAGATTATAATATTTGGGGTGTTCTAGTTTACAAAAAAGACCAGTAAAGGGCTGTGGGGGAAATATGGCAAAGGCTTGTAAAATTATGTATGTAAGAGGTGGGAAAAGAAGATCATGTTTTTCTTCTGTTCCTCTCACAATACTAGACCCAAGGTCATCCAAAGAATCTGAAAAGTGGAAAATTTAAAGCAGATGAAGGGGGGGGATATTCACACATCACACAGTTCATCACTAGAACTGGCTACCACAAGAGATTGTACTGGCCACCAACTTGGATGACTTTAAAAGATGATTTGACAAATTCATGGAGAAGCGGATAACAATGGCTACTAGTCATGAGGGTTATATCACTTCCAGTGAATAACTATTACTGGGGATCATGAACATGAGATGTCATTGTGTTCGTGTCCTACTTGGGGGCTTCTCAGAGGCATCTGGTTGGCTGCTGTGAGACAGGCATCTGGTCTGGTCCAGGAGAGCTCTTGTACAGAAACAAGAGGTAGAAATGGCCATTGTCTCCCTACTTTAGACCAATACATCCTGAGTAATTTTTAAGTTGTGTGCATATTCAGAGTCCACAAATCTGAGGCCCACAAAGAAGCAATACCAACGGGTTGGCATACTGTAGAATATCAATAAATTTTACAAGACAGAATAGAAGCTACCAGCATTGAATGCACAATTGAGAGCTGTGGGAAAAGCTAGTCTGAGTCAGTGAAACTTCCCACTACTAGTGGTCCCCAGGAGCTGCCCATCCCAGAGTCTCATACACAACTACAAACTAGTAATCTGCCAGTCCAGAAAGTAGATGCTTTCTCTGTCCAAGAAAGACAATACTTCCTGACAGAAACCTAGGTGCCACCTACATAAGTTCACCATGAAAAAAGTGCATTTTTAAAATGGTGATTTTTTAAAAACAAATTGCACATACAGCTACCTTGAAGACTGTTAGCCTCCTTGCAGACCATCCATTTGAAAGGCAAGGTATTAATCTTCAAAATAAATAAATTCTCTCTCAATAATTCAGCATCTGCACTGTGTACAGTATATTTTTAAAAAAGAAATTTAAATCCTTTTCTATACTTTGCTGCAGAATAGTTAATAGTTAAGCCCTAGCTGGCAGCAAGAAACAGCATTACATAGTGTCCAGCACTCACCTTTAACTGGAAGAGTGTATCTGTGAAGAGAAAGACGACGATAGTTGGGTTTCAGAAAAAAGGTCTCAGAATGAAGGGTACTGACTGAAATTTCCACCAACCCAAACATTCCTTCTAGCCCAAAGATGTCCAAACTGGGAACATTAAATACACCCTTTCCATAGAGCAACAAATATCCTTTGTGCTAAGCACTTTGTGTCTAGCAACTTTACATGAGGAATATGAAATACATTCATCTCTATACAATGAACTAGCTCCTACATTTTTTACATTTGCTGCTAAAAATCATTATGTTTTTCCAGTTCCACAGGAGGAATCATTGCACCTTGGAGCCCAGCTTCTTGACCTGTCATGCATTTATAGCCTATATACTAATCATGTGACAATATATTAGTAAGCCAGTCTTTCAAAGTGCCACAGCACTTTCTCTCTCCAGAATTCAACACTCAACTTTAACCACGGCAATCATTTTCTTTTGCACTCTGGGCTCTCAAGCTGCCTGGAGGATAACTGCTAGCTGGAGACTCCTGTTCTACCTCTGTGGTGAGGGGAAATCGATCAAACACTAGGCCACCCAGGTAACTGGCTCATACACTGTGTCACCTGTCTGGCATCCAGGAACAGGAAGTGGCATACAAGAAATGAGGAAAATATGTTACTGCTTGTTAAAGGATCCTCTTTTGAAGACTCTAAACACACAGTCTTATTTGGCTCGCAGAAATGATTCTCTTGAAAGGACTGCCAGCCAGATGAGTTGCTAGAACAACCCAATCAGATGGGCAGGGTACATATAATAAAAATATTATTAAAATAATTATTATGGAAAGATCAGTTTCTGGCCAATGCAAACATGCCTCTCACAGGCATATATTTCTGTCCACAGGGCTCCATCCCTTGGGGCATATCATAATACCAATAGATATTTTCTAGTATGGGTTAGAAAACCACTGCCTGAGCCCCTGCCCTTAGGCAGGAACCTCTGTGCCACATATTTAAAACAAAACGCACAATCCAGATTACCTAGTCATTTGTGAGTGAAGTACAGGAGTAATGAAAGTGGGCTATATCAAAGATCAAAGCCCAACATCTGACTCTGCCTCCCACAAAATCACAAGGCATATCCAATACACTATTTAGTCCAACCCTGCGACAGACGACAGGGTGGTCAGACTTGGCAACCTATGCAATCCATGAATTGCACTAAGTTGTACTAAATGTCTAAAATTAAGTTAGCCTAAACACACTCTGAAGGCAAAACAAACACCCCAGACATTTAATCAGAACAATTTGATGGGGAAGGGGAAGCATTCCTTCAAAATACCAAACACAGCAGATAGATTTTTGCCTGCGTGTCAAGTAGCAACTTGCCTTTAGTTGAAGGAAGAAGAAATAGAACCTCCCCTCCTCCTCCCATGTGTGCTTCTTGACTGCCTTGTCTTGGGGGGCAATAAGGTTGCCAACTTTCTTTTCTAGGAATGCACTTGTGCCAGAAACTGAACAGGTGAACCTTTGCCTGACAAATGTGTGTGAGGCAGGAGCCTGGGGGCGGAGAAAAATAACAGGCAGCCAGGAAAGCAACCTGGAGAGATATCCCCACCCCAGATCCCTTCTAAACAACTCGAGAGAATTTACCTCCAGCTCACATGCACAAGGGGTGTGTGCTTATACGTATATGCACACACACACACACACACACACACACACACACTTTATGGGAGTCAAGGCCGGGGGCTGGGTGGGAGAATGCTAAAGTCATGTCTTGATGGCTTCATTGTTACACACTTCCCAACCCCCAGGAACCCCACCCCGCTTTCACCTTCCCAGTTATCCCCACCGCATTGTAGGCAAGGCCCCAGTCCATAAGTCCCCACACCCTGGATCAGGGTTGAATGTGAAGTCGCTCCATCCCCCACCCACCCGAGGAAGAAGGGGAAAGAGCTGCCTTACCGTCCATTCTGAATTGAGTCCTCTGTCTACTCCCCTGGCCAAAACTTCCGGGCTCCCTCCTCGCCCACTTCCGGGTTCTCTCCCGAGCCTCTTCCGCGTCGTCTCGAACGCGATCTCAGCCACGCCTCGCGAGACGACCGTCTATCACGACTGCCATCATCTTTCTCACCGCGCCGCAGTTTCGCTCACCGGGTCCGTGCTGGCGCATGCGTAGACTTTACAAAAAGTCACTCGTGGGCACGCCCAGCAAGACAGGGCTCGTAGGTGGCGGTTCCTATGGCAACGAGGGAGAAAGAAAACGAAGATGATGAGATGCGGGAGAAAGCGCTTGTGCACAGCTTGGGAGTAATTTAAGCACGAAGCAGATATAAATCTTATTTGAATATCGATATTATTTTTCTTACATATTGCTGTTGTTATTGTTGCGTATTATTTGACGGTGGTGATGATTCCCATCATCATCGTGTAGGGCTGTATATAGAAGAAGTAGGATAAAAATAGTGTATTTAGGGCTGGACAAAAACTAGACTGGTTCCTACTCCAGAATGGCTTTCAAACTAACAAATATTTGACACATACAAAAGAAAGAGACAATGAAGGGGAGAAGAAAGGAAGCGAATTCAGTGTTCAGGCACCATTGCTTTCCAAATAAATATACATTGGCCTTGGATAGAGCCAGCACATTATGCTTGGTCTGCCTCTTGAGAATGTTTCTGCTGGTTGTATGACTTTTTAACTGTGCTGCTGCAGCATAACTTTGGAGCATAATTGAGCGGCAGCAAAATTATCCCCATTCTACTGACTGGTGAAGATGAGGTTGTGTTGTAGAGCACTGGTCTTCAACAGGTGAGGTTGGGTGGGATTCTCTACTGTGTGACAGCTTGACCCAAACTCCAGGGCTGTCTTCCACCATGCAAATTTACTACTACTACTACTACTATTAGAATTTAAAGAGCACCTTTCTTTTCAAGAAGAATATGGCCAACTTTCACTTGGAGGAAGGATATTGGTAAACTGGTACATTTCCAGAGAAGGAGATAAAGATGGTAAGGTGTCTGGAGAACCAGTCTGATGAGAAAAGGTTGAGTTGGTTAAGTTTAACTTGGAGAAGAGATGATTAAGAGGCAATATTCAGAGGCCATCGTCAAATTTTTGAAAGGCTAGCACAGGAGTCAGCAAACTTTTTCAGCAGGGGGCCAGTCCACTGTCCCTCAGACCTTGTGGGGGGCCAGACTATATTTTTTGGTGGGGGTGAACAAATTCCTATGCCCCACAAATCCCCCAGAGATGCATTTTAAATAAAAGGACACATTCTACTCATGTAAAAACACACTGATTCCCGGACCGTCCGCGGGCCAGATTGAGAAGCCAATTGGACCTTAGTTGGCCTACACATGGGCTAGCACATAGATGATGGAGCATCTTTGTTTTCCATCACTCTAGCTAAACTTTAGAAAAAGCTTCTTGGCAGAATGACCTGTTTGATGGTACAAACAGTTTTGGAGGGTTCTTCAGGGTCACCCACAATGGGAAAATGGGGGAGCTCCCTTACTCTGTCCTAATAGCACTTACCTATCATCACCAAGAGTCTTGCAACATCCAAACCATCCTAGTGCAAATTCCAAAAAAGTCAGAGCACTTTAGAAAAGTTAGAGCCAGTGTAGTGCAGTGAAGGGGATTTAGGTTTTGCCTATGGGAGATGCCTCCCAACCATGATGAGAGTGGCTCAAGATCTATTACTCTTCACTCTAACTTCTCTCTCCTGAGACGGTTTTGTCTGAGGATGTAAGGGAAAAATCATTTGAATATGGTGAGAAGGATATAATAAATATAAAATGGTGGTGGGAGAAAACATGCCAAACATTAGCCCAAGAGAAAAAGAGGGCAGAAAAAAAGAGGGAAACCTGTACTTTCTTACAGCACCCATACACTGCCACAGGTAAAGGGTCCTGAGGAGGATATCACAGGAGTCGTTTCCTGAGCTGAATCAGCCCCCTCCTGTGCATCTGGTGTGCTGCTTCTTTGATGATGATGGTGCTGGTTGGTGCTGAGTCACAAAAGGACCCAGACAATGCAATCAAGGATGGAGTAGTGCCAATGTCGGGGGAGCAAGGACTGTAGGCTCATCTATGGGGGGGTCTCACAGCAAACATGAAGATGTGGGAGGAGGTAAAATGCTCTTGTTCCTCTTTACAGAATGATGTCCAAGAAGGGTTCAGGTTAGTGCCAGGTAACAGTTGGCATGAGCAGAATGAGGTCAAGCCAGCCTAATGGCTTTGGCTTGTAAATGAAGTGGGTTGGGGGAGGAGAGTTGCTACTCCTTATGTTTTGAGAGATGCCATTTTGGATGAGAGATTGAGGCAGCCTGGACACTACACAGGCAGCAGGATGTGTTGGTAGGAACCTGAGGTGGTAGAATGAATGGTACCACTTCAGGCTGCAAGTAGGAGATAACATTTGTGAAAGCTCCTCAGCAAGTAAGAACACAAACACATCAAGGAGAAAGGTTCTATCCCAATCTCCTTCCTGATCTGCCAATTTTTTATATGCAGGGACAAGTTTTTTTTAATGTCAGGGACCATTCAGAAATGTGATTCCCCCACCTGCAGCAAAAAGTAGCACATTCCCTTCTATTATCCCATTACCACTTCATTCTGCTGCACATGTACAGTCATCTTCAGGCTTCGGTCCTGGAAGCAAGTACTGCAGAAACTGGTGGAATTTCTTCTCAGTAAATATGCCAAGAATCAGGCACTTAATTCAAAAGAACATTCAGTCAGATAATGCCTGCCTCTTCCCCACCCTCATTTCTCTGTCCCTAATCCCATCCACTAACTAGATTGGATAAAAAGTCCAACATCCCACAAGTTCTCATTTTTATTTTTTATTTCTAACACACCCTATATTTACAGCACAAGCTTTTCTCCAAAGAATCTCGGGAACTGTAGTTTGTAAAGGTTGCTATGAATTATTGCTCTGTGAGGGAAACACTACAGTTCCCAGGTCGTGTTGGGGGAGGCCGTTTTAAATGTATGGTGTGGACGTGACCTAAGCATTTACATTCTGTTCTTCATTGGATATTTCAGAATCAGAGTGTGAGACAATTAAATAACTAATAATTCAAATCTACAGAAAAAAGATATCAATATACATAAATTACAGAATCCATATAAAGAAGGCCAATAAATAGGAAACAAATTAACAGCACTATCATAAAACAAAGCTAAAGTTCAATGAGGACAATTAGAATGTCATGTTCGTAGAACCAGATCAGCATTGTTTTCTGAGTGGGAAACTAATTAGCATGGTTTCTGTGAAATTCTAGTAATTCCTATATTTGCATATATATGCACAAATCAGCATATGCAGATTTGTGTCCTAGTGCCTGTGCCCCTGTTCTTTTAAAGTACTGTATCTATGTAGCATGCCTCTGTACCTGTTTAGCACCACAGTTATTTGGGGGATGTTTTAGCCTGGAAGCACACATGTTGTTGATCCTTAACCTCTTCTGGATCTCTCTCTGTCTTGTTCATCAATTGAGTAATCCCTCTGTAATATCTGTAGCACAAAGAACCCTCTTGAAACACTGTAGGGGGTGGGGAATAAGTGTACAACTTATTTTGATTTCAGAGCAGATCTGCTGGAAATGAATGACAATTAGATTTAAAATAGACAAATCTGTGGGGAAAGAGAAGTCAATCAATGGCTATTAGTCACAACAGCTAAATGGAGTGTTCACATTCAGAGAGAGTCTTCCTAGGGGGAAGCAACAAGGGAGGAAGGCTGTTCCCTTCATGGCTTGCTTATGGGTTCCTTGAAGTATCTAAGCCAGTGCCTGGGAGTGCAATTGTTAGAGCAGGGAACCTGTGACCCTTTAGATGCTGCTGGACTACAACTCCCATCATCACTGATGACCCTCAGTCGGATCTTGTAAGGTGTTCATGTTCTGATTGGCTGCTGGTCTTTGGCAAAGAGCCAGCAAATGGCAAGATAAAAGATTGCTTGTTCTATTTAGGTGGGGTTTTAAAAAATTTCGTAGGAACGTGCTTTATCCCAAGTCAGACCATTGGTCCACATATCTCAGCATTGTCTATAACTGTCAAAAACAATCCAAGATTTCAGGCAGGGGACATTTCCCTAGCGATGCCAGGAACTGAACCTGGGACCTTCTGCATGCAAAGCATAGGTTCTACCATTGAGCTACACCTGTCTCCTTTTCCATTCTTAATATTTGTATTTTTCCTTAGCAGCTCATGTTCATAAAAATATAGATGGTAGCAAGGTCAAAGAACCCAAGCCCAGCTTCCAAGAACAGAGCCAGCATATGTATGGAAACATTCAACCTTCAACATCGGGTAAACCAACAAAGAAGCCTGTGCCATATCCTATGCAAGTAGAAGGTGAGGAAGGGAGCATAGTGACAGCAATGGCATATCTCATTCCCATGTTCTCAGTAGTCCTTTGTAGATATACACATACCGTACTTAGGTTTGGAGTCTGCAACAGTATTTAAAAAAACAAAACAAAAAACAAAACCATGAGAAATGGTTACTATTTCTTTAAAAGATTTATAACCTGCTTTTTACTGAAAGATTCTCATGGCGGTTTGCAGTAGAGTGTAATAATACCCAGCCCTCCCCCCATCAACCCAGCGGCGCTTTGTCCCTTGGCCAGAGTGCAGCCTACTTAATTCCAAGGGCAAATGCAGTTGGAGCCTCCTGGGAAGGAGGGAGGGGTGAAGCACAAAGATCCTCTGCAGCTGCTCCTTCTCTGGCCCAGTCTTCACCTTACTGGGGCAATCTTCCTGGGAGGGCAGAGGTGCAGCCTGCCACTTCCCCTTTGTTCCCTGGCCGATGGCAGAGACAAAAGCATATTTCCCTTCAGCTCTGCAGTCCTGGTGCAACTATTATTCTTCATTATAATAATAATAATAATTTATTATTTGTACCCCGCCCATCTGGCTGGGTTTCCCCAGCCACTCTGGGCGGCTTCCATAGAAACCAAAAAACACTAAAATATCATACATTAAAAACTTCCCTGAACAGGGCTGCCTTAAGATGTCTTCTGAATGTCAGGTAGTTGTTTATCGTTTTGACATCTGATGGGAGGGCGTTCCACAGGGCGGGCGCCACTACCGAAAAGGCCCTCTGCCTGGTTCCCTGTAGCTTTGCTTCTCACAATGAGGGAACCGCCAGAAGGCCCTCGGCGCTGGACCTCAGTGTCCAGGCAGAACAATGGGGGTGGAGACGCTCCTTCAGGTATACTGGGCCGAGGCCGTTTAGGGCTTTAAAGGTCAACACCAACACTTTGAATTGTGCTCGGAAACGTACTGGGAGCCAATGTAGGTCTTTCAAGACCGGTGTTATGTGGTCTCGGCAGCCGCCCCCAGTCACCAGTCTAGCTGCCGCATTCTGGATTAGCTGTAGTTTCCGAGTCACCTTCAAAGGTAGCCCCACGTAGAGCGCATTGCAGTAGTCCAAGCGGGAGATAACTAGAGCATGCACCACTCTGGCGAGACAATCCGCGGGCAGGTAGGGTCTCAGCCTGCATACCAGGTGGAGTTGGTAGACAGCTGCCCTGGATACAGAATTGACCTGCACCTCCATGGACAGCTGTGAGTCCAAAATGACCCCCAGGCTACGCACCTGGTCCTTCAGGGGCACAGTTACCCTATTCAGGACCAGGGAGTCCTCCACACCAGCCCGCCCCCTGTCCCCCAAAAACTTCTGTCTTGTCAGGATTCAACTTCAATCCTTAGCCGCCATCCATCCTCCAACCGCCTCCAGGCACTCACACAGGACCTTCACCGCCTTCACTGGTTCTGATTTGAAAGAGAGGTAGAGCTGGGTATCATCTGCATATTGATGGACACCCAGTCCAAACCCCCTGATGATCTCCCCCAGCGGCTTCATATAGATGTTAAAAAGCATGGGGGAGAGGATGGAACCCTGAGGCACCCCACAAGTGAGGGCCCAAGGGTCTGAACACTCATCCCCCACCACCACTTTCTGAACATGGCCCAGGAGGAAGGAGCGAAACCACTGTATAATAGTGCCCCCAGCTCCCAACCCCTCGGTCCAGAAGGATGTTATGGTTGATTGTATCAAAGGCCGCTGAGAGATCCAGCAGAACTAGGAAACAACTCTCACCTTTGTCCCTAGCTCGCCGGAGATCATCAACCAGTGCGACCAAGGCAGTTTCAGTCCCATGGTGAGGCCTGAACCCTGATTGGAAGGGATCCAAATGGTCCGCATCACTAGGGCATCACCTCACTTCCAGTTATATGGGTTGTCATTGTCACTCTTCAGCTGGAACTGAAGCAAACTAAATTGCCTGAGGCCTTGGTAGCAGTGGTGCAGTAGTACATTTTGAAGAACTAGAGCTCATCATGCAGCCCCCTGTATCCAAGGAAGGGCCAAGAAGTTTTCCTGTTTAAACTGCTAGCATGAAGTCAGAACACCATCAAAGAAAGTGTTTCCAGCCTCTTGATTATATTCCTCATTTTCTGACTTCCTCATTGACCTACATTGAAAGTGATCAGGAGTCAGCCAGGTGAGAGTGGGATCACTCCAAGTTAACGTGCTTCTGCCTTGGAGGGAACAAACATAGAAGCTCTCGAGTGTCCACAACTAGCCTTCTCACACTTAGGATCCGAGAGGAGGTTTCATGTCAGAAGCAGAGTCTTCCTGCAGATTTCGGCCTTGGCAGCTCTTTTTGAAAATGAAATACTAAGTTCCGTCTTAGACGATTGCTTCATCCCTTAGATAATAGGAAGGTCCATACCCCAGCCCCAGTATGCAGCACTTTGATATTTCCTTCTTTCCTTGCAGTATCTACTGATAAACTTGCCAAGAAGAAAAGGCTTATTCCTAAGATCATTGTGACCGGGCCCTCGGAGGAAGTGCTGTTGAACAGTTATACTGATGAAATCCCCGAAACAAAAACCATCCGGGACACTGAAGACTTTGGCGCGTATAGTGTGCACACGAAGCCCAGCACTGTAGACGCTTATAGAACCAGCAGAGATCAGTGAGTGCACAGTGGAGAGTCAACAGCACTCAGTGTGATGGATACCACCTAGGGAAGCTAGCAGCCCAGTCCTGGATCCCCCTCTCAATAAATGGGTATCCCACCACAATGAATCCTTTCATGGTTTCACTTTCCCCACCTCCCACATTTGGAGGTGGAGGAAGAGGAGGAGGAGGAGGAGGAGGAAGGGCAAAGCTTAGCCAAATATAAATGAGGTTGATGATGGATTGTCAGGGAAGAGTTAGAGTTAGAAGATTCCAGTTTCCCAGAGGGAGAAAGCATTCCCCAAGGGGGGGAGGAGAGCATTCCGGAATTGCAGAGAGAATTTCATAGAAAATATCCCCACAAGCCAAAACCCCATAACTGGCATCTTCAAGAAATTTTTGAAGAGACAGATAGCGAGGAAGAGGAATTCATAGGGTTCGGTCCTTCAGAAACAGAGGAGAACGAGGAGGAGGAAGGGGGGCTTAGGGGAGGGGGTGATGTCAGGGAAGAGTTAGAGTTAGAAGATTCCAGTTTCCCAGAGGGAGAAAGCATTCCCCAAGGGGGGAGGAGAGCAATGAATTGAAGAGAAGAGAGCAACAGGGAGGGACCGGCTGTTCCCAGGAAAGGCAAGGGTTAAGTTCTAGCTCAGATTCGGAGGAGGGGAGACACAAGCCAGCTCTAGCCAGGAGGATAGAAAAAAGAGCGGGGAAAGCAGTGAAGGGAAGGGCGCCTTTGCCATTTTGAGAGTGGCTGGTCATGGAGAAGCAGAGCTCAGAAGGTATCTGAAAGAAGTGACTCTGAGGAATAATATTTAAGAACCATTTATAAGATTGTTTTGTTAATACGCAATAAAAAGTTATAAAGGAACAAGAAGCGTTTGTGTGGTGATCTGAAGAGGACAACGACCAGTCCTGACATGGATGTTCATTTCCAAATAAATATGTTTGGTAAATGTTTTAAGATTCCCAGTCAATAATGGACCAGTATCTGCATGAGTGATTAGTATTGTTGGAGCAGGGGAACATCTCAGCCATACCTGCACTCCTAGAAAGGAAGGTCCAGGCAAAATATGTCACGAAGGGTTTGGGAGATCCATTGGATTACACCTGGAAGAGGGTGTGGTGTAGTTATAAGGTGCGATCCACCCTGAGCATATTCTGTCGAAGTTGCTGAAGCCTTTGTTAAATCCCCCACATCCTCCTGCAACTAGCTTAACTACTTGTAACTGCTATAATCACATAGGCTCCACATGTACTATACATTAAAAGCAGTATCATATCACTTTAAACTGTCATGGCTTCCTCCAAATAATCCTGAAAACTGTAGTTTGTTAAGGGTGCTGAGAATCATTAGGAGATCCCTATTTCCCTCCCAAAGCTACAATAGTTCTTTGGAAAGAGGGATTGGCTGCTGGGTTTCCCCACAAGCGGGTGGGTGGCCACTGTCTGTGGGAACAGGATGCTGGACTAGAGGGGCCATTGGCCTGATCCAGAAGGCTCTTAAATTCTTATGTTAAAGTACTATGAAAATTGTATCTGTGATAGAACCTTCACACTGCACACTGACCACCGTATATGACATCCTATCATCGCACCCACAACTCATCAGATAAGGTGTGAGCAGCATCACCCTGCTCTCATGCGAAGGTGAAGCACAGAAGGGGCATTTGGCACAAAAAGGGAACACATCTTATTATGTCTGGAAGACACAATGGTGCAAAAGGAACCTCCACTTCTCTGACTGCAGATGCAAGAGTAAGGCACCCTACGTGTAGGGAGGAACTATTCATTTATTTATCACTTTTATGTACAATCTTTCGGCAAAGACAGTTTGCAATTTAAAATATTAGAATAAATGCTACAAAATATATTCAGACCAACATCATACAGAGTAAGCATGCACTGTGGGTGTGGCTATGAAACCCAACATGCAGAAAAGTGCCTGTTGCACCAGTGAAGGCAACACTGGGGAGTACACTCTGTGAATGGCAGCTACAGCCATTGCTATTTCTGGTGAAATGCTTCCTGGTCCCTCTTGCCTTGCCAGGATCACAGGCTTAAGATCGCAACACATAATGTTCCACTGCAACTCCTTGCATGGCCTAGATGACTAGATGACTACAGTGACTGTAGTCTCGATCCTGAAAGGTGCATCTTTCTGACAGGTACATCTCTCCTTGTAGACCAGTGTTTCCCAACCACTGTTCCACGGCACACTAGTGTGCCGCGAGATGTTGCCTGGTGTGCCGCGGGAAAAATTAAAAAATTGAAAGATTTTTTTTTTAAAAGTCAAATTTTCGATTGGGGCGCCGTCACTAGATGACCCCTGGGGTTCCCTCCCTCCCTCCCGCTCTGCGCCTCCCTCCTCCTCCTCCTCCTCCTCCTCCGGGGAGGCCCTTCCTGGCTCTCGGCTGAGGCTTGGCGGCTGCCACTCACTCACTCGCTCGCCCACCCGTCCCTCCATCCCTGCACCCGGCCTCTCCCCCTCCGTCCCCGGCGCGGGGGCTGCCGGGATCCGTAGTCCCCTCGCCCTTGGGCTCCGCGCCCGCGCGGGGTGCGCAAACTACGTTTCCCAGCATGGCCTGGCGGGCCGGGCGTTTTGTTTGAAGCGCTCTTCTCCCGGCCATGGAATGAGCGCAGCGGCGGCGGCCGGGCGGGCAGGGGCTCTTCCGCGCAGACCCCGCGCAGCCTGCCTGCGCCCCCGCGGAGATCGGGCGGCAGGATGGAGCCCGGGGATCCCCGCGGAGGCGGAGCGGCGGGCGGAGGCTGCCCCCCAGGTAGGGCTGCGTCGGGGGTTTTTTATTTTTGCAATGCTGCATCCGCGCCGGAGGGGACGCATCGGACCGCGGGGAGACCCCTTGGCGGGCGTGCAAGGCAATGCATGCGTGCAGGCGTTGCATGGAGTGCAGTGCAATGCAATGGCAACGCGGCGCCCTGCATGCATGCATGCAACTTCCACCGGCGCTCCGGACTTGGCAGGTGAGGGGGGTCCCCAGTGGGCGGCAGAGAGAGCCGGGAGGGCGAAGGGGAGCCGGGGGGGAGCAGCGCTGCTCCCCGAGCCGAGCCCGGGGGGAAACTTCGGTGTCGTTGCGCCGGGTGTTGGAAGCGGAGGCTGGCGGGGGCCCCTCACCTGCAAAACCTGGTCGCCTCTCATATATTTCGTGCATTGCATTCATCGCCCGCTTTCTCCTCCAAGGAGCTCCCGGGGGCGCGCGTGGTTCTCCCCGTGTTATCCTCGCAACAACAGCCCTGCGAGGTGGGTCAGGCGAGTGGCCCAAGGGAGCACCCAGGGATTGTCCTGGCCAGGTGGGGTGATTTGAACCCTGCTCTCTGCCCGGTCTTCGTCCTCATTTAGCCCCCACATGTGCATGACTGTGCATGACTGAGGTTTTCCCCCCTCGTCTTGGCTATGGTGTGAGTCTGTGCTGTTAATTAATGGGGTTCTGCCTTCGGAGAAGATGAGCCAGCCCTCAAGGTGATTATGTAATTTGCTAGCAATTCATGTCCCTCCCGGCGTGACGCTGCGTCACGGGGCTGTAATGGTGGTGTGCCTCGAGATTTTTTTCATGAAACAAGTGTGCCTTTGCCCAAAAAAGGTTGGGAAACACTGTTGTAGACATTGGATGGCGGGAGGAGAATGAAAGCCCAGGTGGGCTAAAGCATCACATTCTTCCGAACGCCCTCTACCAATTGCAAAGCATCTAAACTCAGGCTCTATATTGTGCTGTATATTACCTTATGTACACCTTTAGTATTAAAGTTTGGGGGTGTTTTTTAGAAGACTACTACTACTAATAATAATAATAATAATAATTGTAATTTTTGAACTTGTTATTTATGTTCTGTAAGCCACTTAGAACGCTATGCAGAAAAAATGATAATTTAGAAAAGGTGTGTTCCCCCCTCTTCAATCTAATCTAGGAGGACTGGATCCTTCCTTTCTCTCCCCCTCGCCCAATTTTAGTACCCCAGTTTCTCCCGCTAGGGGTAAAGGTCTCGCGTATAGCAAACGTTGCTAGGGGCTCTGAGCGGAAGTTCATACTGTAACTGTACGGAAGTGTCTTGAGCATGCGCAGTGGCTGTGGGGAAAGTAGAAGTGCGCTCCGCTTCGGCCATGACGGAGGCGGGTTCGGCTGAGCCGGAGTCAGAGACTTTGCGGCTGAAGCGGCTCCGAGGCGGCGGCGGCGGCTTCTTCACGGTACCTCAAGGACACAGGGTAAGTGGAACTACAACTCCCAGGAGACTTTGCGGCGGAAGGGTTGCCCCGCCCCTCCAGCGTGTTTGCAAGGCGGACGGGGCTGGCGGTGTGCAGGGTTTTTATTCTCTGGCGTTTGAAAATCCTACATTGAAACATCCGCAGAAGAGCCCTGAACGTGCAAATATTGCTTGTGCAAATGTGGCCTTGGCACATGCTGATGGGGCTGACTGTGGGTGGTGAGATTATTTGCCCCGAGCGTATTTTATCGATACTGAAACCATGCGCGACTTTAATTCCACGTAGACATAATTTTCATAGAATTATAGAATTGAAAGAGACCCTCAGGATCATCTAGTCCAATGCAATGCAGGAATATGCCGCTGTCCCATACAGGGATCGAACCCGCAACCTTGGCATTGAAGACATTGCTAAATCCTATGCTTACTTACCCAGGAGGGATAAGTGGGTAAGGTGTGATTCCAGTTTAATCCCATGGGGCTTACTTCCAAGTGGGTGTGTATGAGGGTGCTCTGCATGGCTATATATATATATATATATATATATATCAGTTATATGTGCAGTTACTGCATAACGCTGAAAAGTATTATTAAGTTATGCTATTGTTGTTATTCTCACTCTTGGGAATTTTTTTTATTGAAAAGCAGGTTTAAAAATTTCTACAATTTTACATTATTTAACAATAAAAAGTTGTGCAAAGAAGCAGAAATAATATTATTCCCCATCTTCCAGTTGTAAGGAGACGCCTGGGAATGATGTAATGATCTTTGTTTATATGATTAGGATCCTCAGCAGCATCTCAGGAATCAAGCAGGGACTTAGTTCTGTGACCCATCTGTTGTTTCAGCTGGGAAGATGTCGGAGTGTGAAGGAATTCGAGAAACTCAATCGTATTGGAGAAGGGACCTACGGCATTGTGTGTGAGTGCTGCCACATGAACCAGTCAAGAACTGGTGCTATGTGTGACCCAAGACTATCTGGAACACAGGGGGTGGTCCCAGAGCTTGTTAAGGTCCTGTCTGTTCCTTGATGTTATGACTTAAGCAGGTGTAGTTGGAATTCAAAATCTTAGCTCCCTGATCTTGGCCATGCACACAACCTCTCCAGCTCTCTTTGAAATCTCTCCAGTGACAATAGATGTATATTTTTCAGGCGTAAATATCATTGATGACATTTTCACACTTGGAAAAGCAAGAAAGGAGGTGGGAAAGTGGCTTGTGTAAAGCCACTTTGATGAGAGGCAACTTTTGAGTTGGCGCTTGAGTCCAGGAGCG